TGTGGGAATGCACAGCCAGAGCATCCCGAGGATGCACGTGGGCACCTGGCCAGACCTCACCAGGACCTGGGAGTCCTTGAGCTTGAGCCACATGGTGAGCCAAGCATCCTGCTCGAGGCTGTCCCACACCTCTGACTTGGAAAGACTCAGTCCTGCTGCTGGCAGATGTTGCTGAGGGCATGGGAGCTCCATCTTCCCCACCCAGACATGCAGCTCTTCCCATCAAGTCATGATGGTTTTCCTCCCTTTCCACCTGTCTGACAGGGGGAGTATTCCAGCTGGCTCTGGACATGTTTCTCGAGGTGCCTGGTGGCAGGTTTGCTCCTACAAACCCTCCAGTTTCTCTCTTTTAACGGGTCCTAATTTGCCTATTATCCCACTCTGGCTCTCATTATCCGTGAAGGGGTTGTTGAAACCTCTGACAAATCCTGGTGTTGGTGTAGTGGACTGATGACAAGATGGAGTCAGATTACAGGATGGAGTCTGCTTTGCCATTGTCTTGAGCACAGAGTTAAAAAGCCTTGATGCCACAGCTGGGCTGCTGCAAAAGCTCCAGGAGGCACCCAGCAAGCCAGCAGGGGCAGGCAGAGGAGCAAAAAGGATAAAAAGTTGTTATAGTCAAAAAATGCGTGAAGGACTTTCCCAAATAAGGTGTGCCAGGCAGATCTTGCTTGGAGACTGGGGAACCAGCCAGTGGATGCTCAGGGCCCATCTTGGTACCAGGTGATCTTTGCTGGGTGCTGGTGAACTGGCCAATGGGCCTCCAGGGTATTTAGGGCCGTGCCCAGGGACTGCTGGGGGGCTGTTTGAGCACTGCTGAGGGAGCTGCTGCTGCTCTGTTACCCTGCTGGTTCAGTTCCTTCCTCTGAGGATACAAGGCAACCAGGGAAGAAGTCCAGCAGAGACCTGCCAGCTTGCAAGCCAGCAGCACTTCATGGTGGTGGTAACTCCTGTCCTGTGCTTTTAACAGTTACCCTTAGCTTTTCCCACTTTTCCATCTTCCTTCTTTCTCTCTGCTCTTTTGAGTTACAAAATAAAGTTCAATTATCATTTGAGGATCCAGCATCTGGCCTTGTTTGTGCCTTAATCTCACTTATGGGAATGGTTTTAGAACCTGGTTCCCCTCTGCACCTAAGAGGATTGGAACAGTTGGCTATAAATAATTCACTTCAACACCAGTGGTTTTCTGTATTACTCTCTCTCAAAAGCATTTTATTGTCTGTCTGTACCTGTGGGGGTTGGATACTCTTTTCAGAACTTATTTTTGGAGACAATTTCCCACCAAACCATCTCAGCCAGGGGAAATAAACAGCCTCAGCACGGCCATCGCTTGTCTTGGTTCCAGTTCCAAAAGACAGCGAGAGTGAGTTTTCCAGCCTGGTTATGTTGTTTGGCCCTGTGGTACCTAGGGAACAGCATTTGCAGATGGGAGCAATTCTTAGTGTGCCCTTGCTGGGAAGTTGGTGAGGGCTGGCTGAAAGTCATTGCTGTTGTTTTGAGCCCTCAGTGCAGGAGGCATGGCTGTGGGAAGTCAGGCTGGATTTTCTGGATGTTGCAGAACAGCCATCATTCCTCTTGCAGCCACCTTCTGCTGCTCAGCTCATGGAGAAACAGGAAGGTTTGAAGAGCAGGGGAGGGTTGTGCTGCTCTGAAGAGCTGGTCAGTGGGTTAGTGGGGTGGGAGAGTCTTCTTTTGCCTCCTGAAAAGTTTGTACTTGCCTGTTTCCCAGTGATTTGGCTTCAGGAAAGTAAAGATAAAGGTAAAATCCATTTAGATGTCATCAGGCCTGCTCTTAGAAGTCCCAGGGGCAGCTCAGGATACCTTGTTTGATTCTCTCTCCACAGAGAGATGCTCTCAGCTTAAAGGTTGGACTTGATGAATTTAGAGGTCTTTTCCAACTTGAAGGATTCTGTGATTCCTTGATACCCAGCTAGGAGACAATCCCTGTTTTCAGCCCATCTCATGCTCACCTGGCACCTGCAGGTATAACATAGCAGGAGATGTTTTCCTAGGTCCCAGTGACCCACACGTGCTGGAGCAAGCTGCAGGTGCCCCACATTGCTGCAGGATTTGATCCACTCGTACCTTCCTTACATCCTGTGTGAGTCTGCTGAGGAATCGGCCGGTGAATGAGTAACACGGCTGCAGCTGGGAGGGAGTGATGCATTTATCAGATTGGTAATGAACCAGAGGTCTAATCTTGGGTTATCTTGTTCTTCTGGACTCGGACCTGCCCCGAGCAGAGCTCTGTGTGGGTGGCTGGAAGTCGGGCAAACCCTGGGCACCCAGCTCTGTGTGTCAGCAGATCTCACACTGCTCCACTTCCCTGAAGTAGTTCGGTGTTTGTGGCGAAGGGCTCAGGTGAAGACTAACCTGCCCCACTTCATAATTAACGCTGGCATTTGCTTTACTTCATTTAATTATGCATAACTCACATGCAATTAAAAATGCTTTTTCCCTTCAGGAAATTAGGAATCTCTGGAATAAACCAGCCAGGTGGGAACTATTTGGAAAATGCAGCAAACGCCGAACTCAGTGTAGTAGGAGGGTTTTTTAGGCGGGGTTATTTTTGCGCTGACAGCAACGTCACCGCTGTATAAAAGTCTGTTGTAAAGAGCTCGCTGCAGGTGTGGATGTGAAGAGTGAAAGGTGTGACGGCTTCGAGCAAGAGCATTTGTGTTTGCAGCTAGGACAGGCTGAGTGGGTTGTGTTGGGCAAAGCAATCTCGGGAGCGGCTGGAAATTCCAGTGGATAAAGTTAATAGCAGTTCCAATGGATGTGGAAATGGAAATAAAATAGCACCCTATAACATTGCAGCTGCTTTCCCTGGCGTGGCCCCTGCCTCGCTGTGAGTAACTGCCTTTGTAAAGCTGAGTGGTGCTCTTATCTTTAAAATCCATGTTTTTTTTCTGAGCATAGCAGTTGTGTCAGGTTCCTGACAACTGCAGAGGTCTCGGACACGTCCTGTGTCAATTAGCAGCTTCTTGGTAATAGGACCTTAAAAAAAAAGAGGGAAGAAGTGAAAATAAATCTCATTTTTAATTACCTCAGTACAGCAGAGCCTTGGGTGTTGGAATATTTTAGCACCTGCCCAGCTCAACAGTTGCTTATTGTTCCCGGTTTTTGCGGCAGAGCCTGAAATGCTGGCACGCAGCTGCAGGCGGGCAGGGATCGCACGAGGGGTTGGGACCAGCCAGCAGGAAACCTGAGAGGTGCCAGGAGAGATTTCTGGGCTTGCTGAGAAAAGTTGAGGATCATTCAGCATGAAAGTGTTTGCAGGTGAAAGGAGCTGTGCTTCAGTGCCAGATTTCAGGCTGCTCAGCTCTGAAAAGTTTGTTGTGTGAGCTGTGCATTCACAGTCTCATAGGCTGGATCACCAAAGGCAGTGCTGGAGCCTCCCAGTTCTTCCAGCTCCTTTTTGCTGGGGAGGAGGAAGAGGATGAGCCAGATTCTGTTTCTGTGTGTCAGCAGCAAAGCTGCTGCCCAATGCCAATGTCAAACCCTCCGCAGCAGAGCTTGGCGTGCACATGCTTTGTGCCTGCTGTTGATGTTTAAATTAAAAAATAAAACCCCTCAACTTTAACTTGATAACCTGGAGCTGGGTTGAGTTGGCCATACTGCTGTAGGGGAGGGCAGAGGGCTGTGCTCAGGATGTCCTTGAGAAGGTGGATTTCTCCAGGGTTCCTCCTCTCCCTGGATGTGATCCAGAGCGGTTATGGCCACTGGTTTTAAAGGGCTCTGAGTCCTTCCCTTTTTGCCATCCTCTCTATTTAATGTCAGCAGTTGCAATTTGTGAGTGGGAGCCAAACAATGCATGAGAACCCCTGTTTTTATTCTTGATCTTGACAAAAACACATCCCCTTTCTCCATCCCCTTCGAGCAGCTCCAGAGGCTGTTTAGTTTGTTGGTGTTTGGTAACTGAGGAGTACACTTCACCACCAGCTCAGGAGAACTTCAACAATCTTGTTTAAGGGGAAAAGAAAAAATCCATGTTTTTTCACAAGCTTTAAATCCCCTGTGCTTTGTTTTATTTTTATTTTTTTAAGAGACATTTCTGCCTGAAGTGTTAAAAACACACCCTTGGAGCTGCTGCAGCAAAGCTGATCCTGGGGTATAGTAAAAGGTTTAATGTATTTTTGTAGGATCCCTTTACAATTCCCACAAGAGAATCCTGCTAAGGAAAATAAAGCTACAAAGAAAGTTTTACATTTGTTTAAAAAAAGCAAAACCAAGCCCACTCTCCAGGTATTACCAACTGCATCATATTTAATGGGTGAAAGATACTTGAGCCCGATGTGACTTGTCAGTGCAGTTGCTATCACTGGATAATGTGCCTTTGCAGCCTGCCAGGTCTGTGTCAGAGACGTGCAACTACATGTGGCTGGTTTCTTTCCTCCCCCATCCTGGAAAAATAAATCCCCACTGTCTAGCCATGGAGGAGTAGGCATTTTTTTCCCCAACATATTATCTTTGATATTCCTATGGAAGATGCTAAAAATAAACACTGGTGCAGGTACCAGAAGGGAGCTCCGCCTCATCTTGGAGGCACAGGGGGACTTATGGGCCACATTTGGGGATTTTCCAAGCTTTGGCTCTTTCTGGACAGCCTGACACGTGTGGCATGACGGGGAAGGCTCAAACCTGCAGCCTAGTTCACTTTGCCCTGGTGTAGGGACATCCCCACCACATGTGGTGGGACAGGAGAGGGCCGTGAGGCCTTGCAGGTGACATGGTGGCAGTGCTGAGGAGGGGGACAGCAGGGTGGCCTGCTGGGCTTGGGGGATGGCTCCAGGAGATGCACCGTGCCCAGCAGCCGAGCTATGGGGCTGTGCCTGAGATGTCTCAGTCCAGGGCCGTCTGGCCTCCCCTCATGGATCCTTTTGGAAAATGGGCAGATGTTAAGCCCTGTCTTCTTAGAGTGGTTTGTGATCGCGGAGCAGGGGAAAGCAGAGGTGGTTTGCTTTCTAAAGCCTCTTTTCCCTTTGTCCACAGATCTCAGGAGCTGCACCTGAGAACTGAGGCGCATTCCTATCTCTCTGACCTGACCAAGCCATCGGACTTGGAGTTCATTGAAACCAAGAGGCCACGCCTGGACCTGCTGCAGGACCCCCTGATGCGGCACTCGCCTCTCCTGAACCAGAGCCAGCAGGGAGGGACAGAAGATCTCTCAAAGGTAAGGGAGCAATGGCCTGGCTGCCAGCTGGGTGTGGGGTCTGGGTTTTGGGATCCCCTTGGCTTGTGTAAAGCTGCCTTTGAGCTGCTGCTGAATTCAGTGTAGATGGTGGTTCCCAATGCACTGGGCAGTGCTTGGTGGTGTTGGATAATATTCCCTGAGATGGGGTGACCACTTTAGGAAAACAGAAGCATATCAGCTTTCCTCATAACTGTTACAGTCATAGGCTTTTTTTTACTAGGCTATTAGATGCACCAGAACAATTTGGAAGCTCCTGTAGGCTGAATTAAGGATGGCCATGTCTGGCTTTTCTGGGTACTCTGCCTTGATTTGATTTTTACTTGACGTTTCTCATTTATCACATCTCTTTATTTAATATCAGTGTTTGAAGGGCTGGAATAGGTTTCTGGTGGTTCTTTAATATAATCTTCCCCAGGAAAGCCTCCCTAGTCCCAGTCTCATTTAACAAAGCAAATCATTTACTTACGATCATCCCCTCTGCACATGGAATAAATGTTGCAAAGAGAAATCCCTTGCTTGTGTGCCTGTTTGGATTTACTTTCATGCTCTGTTGGGGTAAATTGTAATTGATTTTACCTTGAGTTTGGACATGCTCCTGGTTGGCAGGAAAGTCATGCTGGATAAATGTGTTGGGGGCAGCTCTCTTGATACCAGTGCTGAGGGTTAGTGCAGCTGCAGGCTGGGCTTGGGAATTGCCTGAGCCTACAATGAAATGAAAGGGGAGTTGCATCTGTACCCAGGGTGATGGGGATGGTTTGCTGTATCCCTGTGGGAGCTGACTGAAATAATATACAGGCAAGAAAGCTCTTCCTTGGAAATGCCAGGATATGTAGACATCTCTTATCCATAAGGTACTGGTGGGCTTTACCTGAGATCCCTCTGAGCTATCTTTAATGAGAAGGATATTTAACTTTGGAGTGGTTCAGATGCCAAGGGAGGCCTGAAGGCTCTGAAGAGTAGAGTGCCCTCGGGGGATGTTGGTTGAGTGGCTGATGGGGAAAAATACGCGGTTGTCCCCGAAACAAAAAATACCCCTCTCCAAAGATGTGAGGAAACCAGGATGACTTTTCTGTCTGCACATTATTCTCACCAGCAGTTCTGTTTTACCTCTCACCAGAAAACCACAGATCATCTCAGCTATTTGTTTCTAATAGGCAAGGCTGCTCTTGAGGCATTAGTTGGTGAGTTTAGGGGCTGCATTTTCTTCTTGGTTTATGACACATTTCCAAGAATTACATGCATTTTATGAGGCTTAAAACATTTGTTAATGAAAGAGGGGGAGAGAGAGAGAGAGAGCTGAGATATAATTCAGCAAGACAAGATTATACTTTTAGTGGACCCATTTGTAATTTTAGAGTCTGAAAAGGAAGAAGAAAATGTGATGTCTTTGACTGGTGAGAGCCTGACTGGAGCTGGGATTAGTTGCTCTAAACTAGCAGGAGCTGTTCCCAGAATGGGTTTGATGGAGCTCACTGCAAGACTGGATGATCTCAGTGCTGTTCCAGTGGTTGGGAGCAGAAGGCAAGTCTGGGGCACGCAGTATATCTGCCTTTGCAGCTTGGGAAATTGGGTTCATAGCAGTCTTTTGGCATTAGTTGTTCTCAGACTAGCGTATAAACTGCTGGTGGACATTAAGGTCATGGACAAGCTCCTGTAGCTGATGTGTGCATCGCTGTGAGGCTCAGCATGTTGGAGGAACTGTTCTGGGCGTGCTGGTCCAGGGGAAATGCAAAGAGCTGAGGCTGGTCTTTGACCACAGCTCTGGACACTTGCAGATCTGGGCTGCTGACACAGGTAAAACCACTTCTCGCATCTGTGCTAAGCCAGCAACAGCGCAATTTGGCGCTGGGCTCTGACGGTGTAACTCACCACCTGGGACAGATGATAAAGACCTTCCCCAGAGGCTCTGTGCTGAGTGAGACATGTCCTGGAGTGGTGGCACACGTGTGTTGGCAGGATGTGTGTCCCAGAGCGGCGGCAAAAACATGGTGGCAGGACGTGTGTCCCAGTGACCAGAGCTGGAGAGAGGTGTTTGCTGTTCTCTCTGTCCTGCTGACTCAGTGCCTGATGAAGTCACTCAATACTTTATCTAGGGCAGCTTTGCCAAGCGGGTGAGCTCCTTGGGTGAAACGCACCATGTGAGCCCAGTATTGCTAAACACGCTGCTGGTTGTTTAGATGGAGTATCCTAGGAGTTGTTCCCTTACTCTTTACCCCATTCCACGCTGGTGCAGTCACTGCGTGGGGAGGAGCTCAGTTTACTCATCGAAGTAACAGTGCTAGGACTGTTTTTCATGGTGATTTTACAGATTGAGCTAATTTTTACACAGTAAGAGCTCCACAAAGCCCTCAATAAAAAGGGTAGGGGTTTGGTTACACACTCTGGGCGCCAGCCTGACTGTCCCAGGGGATGTAACTGTAATGGATGTTGCTCCCGGGCAGTGGATACGTCTTGGTGTCAACCGGTTTCAGAGCAGTGGTGGGGCTGAGATGCAGAATCGAGTCTGTGGTGGGGTATGAGTTTAGCATATCCCTGATAACCACTGATAACTGGATTTACCAACCTTCAGCCCAGGGTAGAGAAGTCAACATCATTCCTGCACATTTCCAAGGCCTTTGACACATAATCTGTGCTCCAAACATAGATAGAGTAATTGATGTGGTAAATGCTTGTACCAGGCTCCAGAGCTTTTTCGCTGAAGAGAAGTGGATCTCTCATGTCTTTTATTCCTCATCTACCTCTCCCAAACATGGGGTGAGCTGCACCCCTTAGCCCTGCTCAGGATCATTGCAGCCTCGCTCCAAGTAAGGCTTAGTCTGTAAGGAGAAGGTAATGTCTTCTCTTGGATCAGCGCAATCTAGCTGGAGAAAGGAGACATGCTTTTGGGCAGCATGCCTTTCAAAAGCAGCAGCTTTCAGCTAAATCTCACTTGGTCCAGTAAAAGCTATTACCTTTCCTTACGAACCTCGCATTGCTCATATCCTCAAACACTGGTGTTTCTTTTCAAACCAGGGAACAGAAGGTTGTTTTCTTGCCTGCTTTCCCTCACTTGAGCATCTTTTTCCCAGCAAGAGGGATTGCTGTCATGTTGCTGCAGTATTGTGGTCCTGGGATCCTGCTGCTGGATGTGGCCAGGAGGGCTCTGGTGAGCTCAGTCTGCTGGGGAGAAATGAAATCTCCCCATGCCCTCTGTGCCAGCCAGGGCTGACACTGCCCCTGGGAAGGTGCTCCCTTGAGCTGGCTGACAATAACCAGACACAGTTAAAGCAGGGCTGTTTTTTCAATCACTGCAAGCCTGAATGTGGGATTCATTGGAAAAGCTGCCGTTGATGTGGCTTTGCCAGGTGTGCTCTTGGCAGAGATGCGGGAGCTTGTTCCCAGGACCCTTGGTGGCTTCTGCTTTCTTTCTTTCCGATAAAGTCACAGACCTCCATCACGTAGCAGCAGCCAGGAGTAAAGCAGGCAGCCCCAGAGCAGGCCAGTGATGCTGTGCACGATCCCTGTCCCTGCGCATACGTGCGCAGCTGGTGCTGCCTGCGATCCTGCCCTGTGGGGACGGCGAGCGTGGCACGTCTGGTCGATCAGCGCCTGCTCTCCCCTCTCCAGAGCTGGAGCTTCATCCTGCCTCTCCCCTTTCCATCTCTTCTTATTCCCGTTGTGCTTCCACTTGTTCTTCTCCCCATTTTTAGGACTGCTTTTCCACCACATATGTGGTTTGCTGCTCCTTCCTATAGGATGTGAGTCAGTCGTGATCTGCGTTTAGTCCCCTTGCAAGGGCTGGCTGGCTGCACTTACGCGGAGCTTATTGCTCCGACAGGAATTCACTTACAGGAGCCATGTAATCCCACGGGTACAGGGCTGGGTGGAGGCTTAGGAAACCTGAACCTTGCTGCCATCTGCCCTGGCAGGCTGCTGGTCACCGGGTAAGTCTCTTCCCCTTTCTGTATCTCAGATTTCCCCATCTGTACAAGGGACAATGCCACTTCCCTCTTTTGTAAAATAATTAACAACTATGGATGGAAAAAGGCAATTAAGAAGCCATGTGTTGTTAGGACTTGGACTCTGCTTTACATTGTGGAAAGGTTTTAATTTCTTCCCTTTCTGCATGAGTGTTTTTGTTGTGTTCTGGACTGAAAAATGGAATAAGAAAAGGGAGAGGGGGGAGTTTTGGAAAAGACAGCACCAAGGCCAGGAAATATGTATGGCAAAGCAGAAATTAGGGCAAAGGGTATTTTGTTTTGATGCATATTAATGTAGATTTAAAAGCAATTAATTGAAAAAGGAGGAATTAACACGTTTGAAATGCCTTTTTAATGATGCATTGAAGCCAGCAGCGTACATGCCAAATTTCACACTGGCTGCCTGTTCCAGAGCCCAATTTACAGTGAACTCCTGGAAGACAGGCTGTGGGATGGAAAGGCTCTTGGCTAGCCTGCTAACTCCTGCCCCGGCCTCAGGCTGGCAGGGCACCGAGGACAGCCGAAAGGCCTTTTGGGAGCCCTGCTTCCTCCTCGCTGGGGCCTTGGCAGTGCTGGGCCCTGGTTGCTGCTCCATCCCTTGCCGAATGTTCTAGGAGAGAGGAGTGGGAGGCAGGGGTCTCCGGCAGCAGGGTTTGCCCTGGTACAGGGCAGAGGGGCAGTGCCACAGCTCCCGGCACAGATAGCTGTGCTGGCTGGTAAATCACCAGTCGCGTTTCTGCTCCGTGGCTTTGTTATGGGAACATTGATCTGTTGCTGGGATTAACCTCTCAGAGTTTCCAGTGGGTTGGTCGCGCAGTTATTAATGAAACTGGCTGGAACTTGTGTTGACCTTGGCAAAGGCCCCAGTTGGCTTGGAGGTAACTGGCAAAAGCATAATCTCTAATTGAGTAATCCAGGGCTGGGGGAGGGGAGCAGAGGGGGTGGACACGAAGCAGTGCTTTGAACTGGGAGAGCTCAGCGCTCCGACGGGATGCGTGGGAGTGGAGGGCTCAGAACGGC